TGTCCTTGAATATTGAATTGATATATTTCACTTAATTGGTGAAGACTAGAGAGTGAATTTTTACTTAACTAACTTTCGAATTTTTGGTGTGTGTGACTATCTGATATGATGTTTTTTACCCCTACACCATCCACCCCGCCCCAATTTCAAAACCTAGATCTTTCTCATTTGGGTAATTAGCACAAATCATCCCTATCGTTTAGGGTCATTGTGCAAATCATCCTTATCGTTTGAATTTTGGCATTTAAAACCCTATTTCAACCTTCTTTTGCAGAGTTAATCCTTTTTATCTATTCCGTTTGTTTAGCCGTTAAAGATTTCAAAATGTCGGATGTGGCAAAGTTTTTTTAAAAAGAAAAAAGAAAAAAGGGACAAAAATCGGAAAAGGGAAAGCCTTTCCCCATTTCCTCCAAATTTCCCCTTCTTTCCACCCACTCAAAAGACATCCGTCCTCGGTTTCTTCATTCCTAGATTTTGGGTATTTTTATCTAAAAAAAATCAGTACTGGGTTTCTTGATTTCGTTCCCAGATTTTGGGTATTTTTATCTAAAAAAACCAGTACTGGGTTTCTTGATTTCATTCCCAGATTTTTGGTATTTAACAAGTGGGCAGAATACCCAAAATCTGGAAAAGAAGACAATAGATATTCCATTCTACGGCAGCATCTGATCATTTTCTTCTTTGCTAGGATTGTCTGAAAATGAGCACACATACATTGTCAACGTGTGCTTTATGGGAATTAACGATCCTTCTTAAGCTGGTTATAGTTTTTGTATAATGAAATCAACTTAATAATCTTACAGTTTGTTTACTCATTATTATTTGTTTATTACTTATGTTGCAGGGCTGCAGCAATTCCGAAAGCTAAAAAAACGTCCTCCTCCAATTTCATCTTCATCCACACCCCCTATATCCCCAAGCAATCCACCACCATCATGGCGAGGCGTCCTATCCCAACCCCCTCCACCACTGCCCCGGCACAACCCCATCCCAAAACCACCCACTCCAGAAATGAATTAGGCTATGAAAATACCTTTGTCTGCCATTTATCAAACTAATCTTTCCAAAAATTAAAACTCTTGTCGTCGTTGAGAGCAAGTGGGCTTCGTCGTTGAGAACAAGTCGGCCGGCCAGATTTCCTAATCGCAAATTGGAGTTGCCCGGCCGGCCAGATTTCCTAATCGCAAATTGGAGTTGCCCGCCGTTCGATTAACCGAATTTTGGCCGGAGATGGAGTGGGTGAAAAGCAGGGGAAATTTGGGGGAAATGGGGAAGGGCTTACCCTTTCCCCTTTTTTGTCCTTTTTTTCTTTTTTCTTTTTAAAAAAACTTTGCCACGTCACACATTTTGAAATCTTTAACAGCTAAACAAACGGAATAGATAAAAAAGATTAACTTTGCAAAAGAAGGTAGAAATAGGGTTGTAAATGCCAAAATTCAAACGATAGAAATGATTTGCACAATGACCCTAAACGATAGGGATGATTTGTGCTAATTACCCTTCTCATTTTTTATGTCTTCTCTTTAATCTCTCTCTATCAACGGCACTCTCCCCATCTCCCTCTCTCGATTTTTACAGCAGCGACGAGTTACTTTTTCTCTACCGACAGTGCTCTATCTGACTCTCCTAATTTTCAGGCTATCGCAACAACATTGTGCTGCCATTTGCGACAATGGAGCCTGGCATCGAGACACTGCTTTTTGCAGCAAAGGTTCCAGGTGATGCACCTAAGAAATTAGGTTTGGCTGTTGTGTTTTGTGTTGGTGTTGGTGGCGTGGATGTGGTAGTGGTGCCATGGTTGTGGTGGCTGGTTGGTGTTGGTGGCAACGCCGTAGCGGCGGCGATGACGAGATGTTTTGTTGGATCTGGTGGTGGTAGTGGTGGAAGATGTCAAGAACGAAATTGAACCGAGAATGGAGATGTGTGGTTGATGTTTCAGGCTCAAGGAAATTGACCAAGAGTTGTTTGTAGGAGGTTCTAAGGAGGCTGCCGTCGACGGGATTGTGATGGCGCTGTTAAGCTGTGTTGATGTTGGTTATGGTGCAGGCGATAGTGGTAGTGCTGGCGATGGTTACTGCAGTTGCGGTGGTTGTGAAACAGTGCTGGTGGTTATGTTGGCGGTGTTGTTGTCGGGAGGTGCTGGGGGTGGTTCTGGCAGCTGTGGTATTGGAGGCAGCGGTGTCGTAAATTATATGGTTGATCAATAAATTGGTTAATCTGTGACCAATAAAATAGATGAATTGTGATCAATAAATAATGTGTGACCTAAAAATTTATTAATTTGTGACCAATAATTTGATAATTTATGATTCTGTAATGAGTTGTGACTTATAAACTTTGTGATTTGTGACAGGTAAATAAATTGTGACTAGTAATTTTTTTGATTTGTGATCAATGAACAAATTGTAACCTATAAAATTTTTGAATTGTGATTGAAAAATAATTCGTGACCAATTGATTTGATAATTGTGACAAAATTGTATAGAATTGTGACCTTAATATATTTTAATTAATTATTTCATAAAAATATTTAATTAATATCTGATTTTTGAAATTTTAAACCTAATTTCTTACTTTTGAAATGAGTGATACTTATCTCTTGAATATGAAAATTTCCCTTCTCCATTTGTGGTGGTCCAAATCGTCCATTGGGCTCTCAACCCAATCCATGTATATTGTGTGTTCAGTGACCTAAACTCATGTATGCAAGTCATGCTCATCCTTGACCCACTTATAACTTAACGATCTTGTTTTGCGTCCTACTTATCATACAATACCACGTGGAGTTTAAATGATAAGCTTCTCAATGCGCAACTCAGTTCAACTATTTCCATCTTTTCTAGTAGGAGTCGTGAACCAAGAGTATGACGAAATCTTACCACGCGTGACAAAGGGAGCACACCTTCTAACGGTTATGCTAACTCTATTCAAAGTTGGTGGAGTCTTTCGAGATTCCGAAACTATCACCCCGATTAATCAGTTTTCTAGTGTCTATGTGCTCCACGATTTGCTGAACAAATACCTTCGCATGTCTTCCTATATATAGAAGGGCAATCTGACTATTCAAGGGGTTAACAATTGATTATTAAGTTTACATAGCTTTCTCAATATTCATCCAACCGAGATATCTTATCGCCATTACAATCACTTTTATCTTTCACCACTCACAACCTTATCATTCAACCATTTCGACACTAACACTATTTTCATATTTTCGATCGTAAATATAATCGGTGCCCACCTTTCAAATCGAATGTAGATTTGAGCATCTACACCATTAAAAATAACTAAATAGACCAAATTATCCATAATTGAAAATAACAAATCACAAAATTTGTATTACATTGCGTAATATTTTACATATCAATTTTAAACTAGTTTTTTATTCTTAAAAAATTCAATTACTATTTCATTTGCATCTGAAACTATATTATTCTCTCCCAGCATCATTTACATAAATTTTATTCATTTTTTACACAAAATTATATATTTTTATTTGTTATATTTATAAATTATTATCTTGTATCAAACTTTCTCGCAAAAAGGAAAATCATTTGTAATAGATATCAATAAAACTACGCATGTATTCTTAAAAGAATTTGAAGTTGCATCAACTCTAAAAAGCTCTATACGCTCAATAGTGTTTAAGAAAAATAAAATAAACAATAACGCAGGCTCTGATCATTCCGAACCTGGCACGGTTGCACTCGTTTTTTGGTTGACTACCTCCGTCGTTGTCTCTCTTAATCCCGATTGATTCTGTCGAGGCAACTCTCTTGATCTCGATGTCGAAACTAGGGTAGTGTTGAAGCGGGTAGAGTGGGAATGCGAGAGTTAATGTCTACCTTTCAATAAGACTACAGTGTAAGCAAGAAGGCATAGAGTCGATCTACCTACCCCAACTTAATAGCTACAAAATAACATCTAATATAAAATTATTTTATTGATTGTTTTTAATTTTTTTTTCATTGAACAATTTTTTTTAATAGAACATAGAAATTAAGAATTTCTATTGGTCTTTACAATGTTGGAGGAGTCAAAACTGTTTAAGATCAAATTTGCAAACAGACTTGTTTCAATTTTTAATATCTAAATGGATTAAATTAGTAAATCAGGACGTATCATGTGACTTGTGGATTTAAATTTTAAAATTCTATGGATATCTTCATATTATTTGACAAACAATTGTGTAACACGATAATCTAAGGTGGAGCCACGTTGGCTATACACCTTAGCGGAAGTTCCATGTCACTCCGATTTGTGAACTCACGCGTGCTCTTTTCGCAATTTTTATAAGTGTTCTCATAGATAGCACCAAGTTGTTGACCTAAAAATAAAAACGTATTTTTTAAAGACAACGATCAATTTTCTTGCACAAATTTTAACAGGATTCTGTCCTCTTTCGAGGATTTTGGAGTGTGTTTGAGGGCTAAGTTAAGTATTAAGAAGTTGGATAAAGGTTGTGAGTCAAGTAAATTTATTGGTACTTGTGATATTTTGAAATAAAATATTAATTTTTTTCAATAAATTATTTGTATTGATTTGAAATTGCATTTTATTCATGGATCGACTTGATATTATAAAT